CTGATGCAATCATACAATGTTTTACTCAAAGGCCAAATTCGGTTAAATTTTTAAAACAACAGTTTTCCGCTTTATTTACATTTGAGTAACTTGGCCAGCGTTTAATGAGAACACAGCAGTTTCCATATAAAAAAGTTGAACTTTTAGAACAAAATGTCAGCAAGTTGAACNCGAAGTACTCTTGCCTTAATGAGAACACAGCAGTTTCCATATAAAAAAGTTGAACTTTTAGAACAAAATGTCAGCAAGTTGAACCAAAAGTTGAACTTAATATCAGTCAAGAAATGTCTGAAAAAGCATTTACCTGGTTACGTTGTTACAATATAGTTGCTCATAATTGAAACCTTAAGAGTAATTAACGTTTGTTCATCTAGCACAGCGCGCATTTCATTACATAATTCAATTAGGATAGCGCAGCAGGAATCAGTGAACTGAACAGACAAAAACACCCAAAACAGTGAACAAAGTGTAGCCTTAGTGACTTTTTACACTTGGCTGCATTTACTTCAACTTTAACTTATCACTTTGGTACCTACACTTATTTTTTCTTTAGTTCACTTTCTCACGATTGGCAGCACTATTCGCTAGCACGGAGCACCGTTTATCTTCTCTGCCACACTTTTGTTGCTATTCTCGTTTACTTCACTTTCTTTATACTGCTTTACACAATATTATCACTTAATGAATGCAAATAATATTCGTAAATGTGACATCTACTTTTTTTTAACAAACAAACCAAAACAAAATTACGCTACTGGCCAAGTCTGGAAAAATAGCATTATTTTACACTGCTTCAAGTTTGACTTCTGGTTGAACTAAACTGAACTTCTGAACTTTTGTTAACCGAATCACCAAGTTAACGAAGCAAACTTATAGCTACACAGTTTCTGTATTTTAATTAAAGTACAATTTGTGTCTGTGGAATTGAATTGAGCCATTAGGTCATGCTGTCGAGCAGTAGAAGCACTGAACTGGTCATTATTTTTTATATATAAAAATACTATTGTTTTCTTTTGAAATACCCGTAATGGTGATAAATTCAGAAAACGCGTTTACTTACTTAAATGCAGTTTCATAGTGTTTTTTGAAATGTCCGATTTGCTGAAACGGAGAGTTGCTGGCGATTGATGAGCTGCTAAGTAGTTTACTGAGGTAGGTTTTTATTTATTTAAGCGCCTTAATTAGATGTCTGGCAACTCCATTTTAAGAAATTGAACGGCAATAAAAAACTTTTTTATCATATTTTTGGCAAAACATCGAAAAAAATTATATTTGTCAGTTGTATAGCAACTTTAAAAATTAGTGTAATTTTGCTTCTTTACACTGTTGATTAAAAACATTTGATCTACAGTTGGATTATTGACCATTTGTACAAGCTGTTTACATTCAAATTTGGTAACCGATATGATTATTAATTAGCAAGAAAAAGGGATCACATAGTTAAAGTTGACCTGAAGAAAAGAGAGAAAAAAAGAAGTGATGTGAAATGTGGCAATTTTTAAATGAAAAGAAAAGACTACTTTGTGTAGTTTAGATGGTAGCGCCCGCGCTTGAATGCTCTCAAATGACCGGCAGAGCTCATGGTTTTATACTGCCTGAAACGAATGCCTGCTGTCATGTGGTCGACCGCATCAATTTGGCGCCACTGAGCTTCTGAGGCGCGCCACTTTTCGCCCAAACCCTGCAAGGTAGTAGTGCAGGCCTGTGCTGACAACGCAACGGAAGAGAGAATGAAAGCGAGAGAAAAAGAGAACTGCTGTCTTTCCGAACAGTAGTCGCCGTGTGCACGCAGACTCAAAAGTGGCACAGTTGCGAAGAGAACTGTAGCACGGCCAAATTCTCAATGAAAGAAACTTCATTCAGNAACCCTGCAAGGTAGTAGTGCAGGCCTGTGCTGACAACGCAACGGAAGAGAGAATGAAAGCGAGAGAAAAAGAGAACTGCTGTCTTTCCGAACAGTAGTCGCCGTGTGCACGCAGACTCAAAAGTGGCACAGTTGCGAAGAGAACTGTAGCACGGCCAAATTCTCAATGAAAGAAACTTCATTCAGAGAATTTTTTGGAGCGACGACAGTTTTCGTAATGAATAATTGGCAGCAGTAGAAAAATTAGTCAGTCAAAAAGATTCATTGAAGGGTCACCATTTTGGAAACTGTTCAGGCAACCTATTCGACATAGCTATAAAATACAAGTTTTTTACCAACAACAAAATGGATTAAAATTAACCAAATATTCTTTGTGCTATATAAACTACTATTTCATGTTTACTTTAACACGGAAAAAGTTTTCCAATGATTGATATTAAATTCGCATTAGCAAAATGTAGTCTTTCTTTAGTTTAAACTTTTACAATGGCGGCATGATTACTAATTAATGGTTTTTTCCAGATGACATTACATGTAAGTTGTTGCAACAATAAGCAAGAACTCCTGCTTTTTTCATCATTGCCGTGACATAGTAGTTTGTATCCGGAAATAATGTCCCGTTGCATTTCTCTTGACGCAATGCTGCAATGATAATAAGCAAATCTTTTGATTGGATGTGTTTGTTTAATTTAGGTTTACTAACATCGTCAGTTGGAAAAACCACTAAAGAAGGCATTGTGTTTGTTTGTCTGTTTGCCATAATCACTTGCAGATAGGACGTCACCGTACACAATACTAACAAAAGTGTCATTAAAAAAAGTCATTCCTTTTGGTGTTTTGACTTCTGTTATAGAACTCGGAGTTTACTAAATCTGTTACAGTAATCAACTTAGAGTTAATTTTAATTCCTGTTCTTTTTGTTGAAATTATTGCAACACACTATTGTACCTGTAAAATTAATTTTACATAAAAAAACTTTGCAAAATATTTTTTTGAAACGAGGTTATTTTGCATAAACTTTACATAAACTGTTATTATTTTAGTTAAAACATAAATTTTAAACTTTAAACCCAATTATTAAATGCACTTAATGTTTGCAATAATGAGCACATTCTAGGTGTGTCTATTGCATATCCTCTCTTTAGCAGCATTAAGTGCTGTCTCCACTATCTACCCAATTAGTTAGAAGTATGTCTGCAATAAATTCAGTTAAACCCAACTATTCTCAGAATTTTCTCACTATCATCGTGCCAATAACTTATCAGTCATCAGCTTGTCCAATCTCCATAGGTTTCAACACAACAGATAAGTAAAAAACTGCTTTTTCTCTCTCTTTTTCTTTATTACCCCAAGTAAAAAAGTGTCCTTTTTGTTAGTTTTTTGTCGGTTGCTAACGATACTTCTTATCGTTTTTAATAATTTTGTACATTACACAGCTTGTTAAGATTCCAATTTAAGGGTTTCGCGCTACTTTTCGTTAAGTTTTGTTATTTATGATAAATTTTATTTAGATAACTTTAAAAAGTTGCGCAACTCTAAATTATATTTACACTGACATATTAACATATTTGCAAAATCATATCTTTTTTAAAGTAGATCAGAAAGCATTTCTCGATTTCTTTGTACAGGTGCTTGTAATCAGTACCTAAAACACGATAATTGTGGCACCAATTGTTGTAGAGTACAATTGCAACTTGTCCTTGTCTGTTTACTGTCGTTTTTACAAACCTGTCATGTCTTTTAGAGATAGGGGTGTTCCAAACTCAAGTGCCCTCTACAACTTGACTTACTACTTGTCCAGCAGTGCTTTAAAACTTGAAAACGGTTTACAGACAGGCAGAACGTACACAAAGCCTTTTCAAAGTCAAGCATTAGCAGTATGAAAAGAGAATCATCCAAATGAGTGGTGGGTACGGTGGTGGGCAGTGTGTGTCTGCGAACGGCAACACTGTCTAACTGCAACAGTTTATGTCCACACTGTGGACTCCACAGTGCAGTGGCGACAGTGAGGGCACTCAAGCTGTCGGCGGCAGTCGTACTGCTGGCTGCATCTCCTCTCTCTCTCT